GCAGGACTTAATGAAATGAAAACGAAAGAAAGGAACAATCCCTAGTTGCTGGAATTTCAACAACAGAAAACGACATTGAGAATGCAGTGGATGTCACATCAGTATTAGCTTTGGGTTTTACCCCATTGTCGCCTGAAAAGGCGCATAGGCTATCCTGTCCCCCCCCACACACACACGGTAACCCCCCCGTTAGACTTAATTTTGATCAGGCTGACTGAAAGTTAATGTTGCTATTTTAATTAATACGTGCCTCGTTGGCCATAAGTTTAATATCGGAATTCGGAGTTACAAAAATGGCATTGCCAAGTAGCTCCATTTTCAAACTCAGTACTTCCAAAATGTACCTGTTATTTCAAACAGGTTTGTATGGGTAGTTCATTAACGTCTCCTGGGGGTGAGGGCATAAACCAGACCCCTGCCCCCAAAATGTGAATTCGACGAACACGACTGACATACAGGAAAATTTCAAAGTGATCATAATCTCACAAAACATGCAGTTTTACTATTTAGTTCCTGAATGTCACACACACAAGACTGGACGCCTATGTAATATGTAACACAAAGCTTGAGGGCGCTATTTCAAATTAATGTGGGAGAAGCATAGTCGGACTCATTTCACCAAATGGTTGGAATTCTGCGCGCAAGCTCATTAGTAATTTGTGATCCCTCGGGTTTTTTTTACAATAAAACATGCCATAATCAGGAGGGATCATAGAAATATTTCTATAAATCCCGAATTTTGGACTGGTAGTTTCCAGGTCCGGATACTTCTTGTACAAAACTTGAGCCCCAAAATTGCGGGCCCACTTTGGATAGAGGTGGGCGGCTACCTTCAGAGTTTAGCGCATAGTCTTACTACTATTTTGGGAGTATCTGTGGGTAAAGGCGAATAAAAAACTTTTTTCGCTGCTAACTCCCATCACATTGAAACGAAAAGTGATCTTCTGGCAACAATCTTGAATTTCCAGTGAAAAAAATGGAAATAAAATTCTTTCATATATTAATCAGCTTAAAACGTTGAGCTCACACCCTGACTTGACTTGATTTCCGGTAATTCACTGCTGCGCACACCTCAACCACTATTCTTTCCAAATTTATCCATTCCAGGTGCGGAATTCCGTTTTTATTAAAAATCTGACGATCGGATGGAGCACAAAAACGTCAACCGGTTTCGAAAAACTCCATTTTGAAAGTAGACGCAACGAAATTCGCAACGCTCGTCATTTACCCTCCTGTAAATACGCATACGTGGGACGGGTTCTGAACGCAATGTCCTATCCAGTCTATATACTGGAGATCAATGCATGTGTGCAGTGCACGTGTACATTGGGCTTGGTTAGACCTGTCTGACTAGACTAAGTGATGGTTCAAACATTCACATTCAAGAAAAGGAGCAGCAGATGCAACGCATTTGTGGCAACTTTTGGAGTAACCCAAGAAGATATGGGATGTATCTTTTGTGAGAAATTTTCTTTGAAAATATCAAATTACACTGCAGTTGAAAGCCAACGAAATTTGTTGTTATAACAAATGAAAATGTATTTCCATCAATAAAATAGGAAGGCGAGTGCCGCCCGACTGTGCTACCCCTGGATCTCAGCTTACTACTGAATCTCCGATAATAAACATTATGCTTTTATACTGAGATAACTGAGAAGAAATGGACCCAAGACAGTTGGGATCGGTTTCACTGACGAAAATTTCGGAAATGAATGAAAATAAACCAGCATCAATCCTGTAGCTCACTGTATTCAAACCTTGAAAATTGCCTTGTGGGTTTTGCCCCCAGGGACATGAAAAAAAAAATGTGGTGAGGGAAAAA